TTAGTAAACATGTTGGTAAAATCAGCAGAGAAGAGTCTTTTGTTTTTTGCTTCTGTGTTTGTTAGATTTGATGATATATTGATATCAATGATAGCCCAGTAAGTTTGTAATCATTTCTTGTTTTTGAAGGCAGTGGCTCGGCAAATCTCAACCTAGTCAAATTTGTGCTTACCTGGATTTTTTCAATACGCTGATCCCGAAAATCCAATTTTGAAAGCTTGAAAACGGCGAAAATGAGCGTTTTTAATGCCCTTCCCTTTGATATTGGACGAGTGGAGCAAGGCCTATGACGCTAAATCGTGGCAGGACCCAATGGTTATAGCGTTGCGGCGGGCAGCCTCCAATGGTGAGAAGGAAATTGCCAACTTGTCCAGATGCGTGCAAGATTGGCCTGCGCGTGTAAGTTTGAGAGCAATTTTCTCGGCAGGGAAAGCATGCTGCGCAACCGGGATTGCACTGTTTTCATGATTGGGCGTAAAGAACCTACCGCGTTGAAATCCCGAGTTGTTGGATTTTGCCGATCCACTGCCTTTAAGAACAGGATCTGTATAGTTTATGAAGAAATTTCTAATAAAATTGAGAAAGTTTAACAACTCAAGTGTTATGGGTTTGGTACTGCTGTCACACGCACCACTGATAAATTTTAATTTTATAGGGTTTTTATGTAATTTCGGTAAGCAATAGATAACAGAAATATTACATCCTTCGTTGATTTTAATGTGCATATTTTTAGTAAAGGTAAGATGTCTGTTAATAATTTCTTCTATTGGCATGCTCAACCTTATCATATATGCGTTGCCTTCATTATGTGTAGTTAAACCCATTTCTTCCAATATTATTTTTGAATACAATCTTTTGCAAATGATTCCCTAATTGGAACTAGCCTCATTAAGGGGCAGATTACAAAGAAATTAAGTATATAGTCAAGTTCTTTTTTATAGATCTTAATGCAGTGCAGTAGAATTATTTTGACCAAAGTTATGGTAGACTATCATGCAGACTTTCTCAGAAGTGTGACTGTTTAAGTGGTATTTTTTCTTTAGTTTAATAATGTATTCTTGAAGTACCCTAATTTCATGCGTATAAGGCGCACTTTTTCGAATTTTCAAGCGAGCCGCTCAGCCGCTTCATTTTATTCCGGAAAGAATCCTTATATCGCACGATTCTCTCAAGCAATAGACAGCACGTTATAGGGTCTTTTGGTTGTAAAGTCCTTTGGCGTGTCTGCGCTGGCCGATTTTGAAAAAAAATCCCCCGCGCCTTATACGCGTGAAATTAGGGTACATCTGACCGTATACTTTTGATTTTTTGCTTAGTGAATATGTGTGGAGATCGAAATCTTGTATCTTTTTAAGGATTTCATATTTGTCTAGTTTGCTAAAAACACTGATATCTCCTGCAACAATATGTTTGTGATGGCTGAATAAATAAGTTTGGTATTTATTACAAATACAAGGTATACTTGCATTATTAAAATTTTGGATTGTGTTTGAAAACTTGTTATAGCTAAAAATACGTGCAGAGATCGGATTGTTATATTCAAAAACAACTTTAAACTTTTTGAATTCCGTGTCTCCTTCAGTGATTGAAGCTTTGACGATTTAGTTGTTGGAAACTTCATTAAGATTGACTTTATCCAGAACTGTAGGGTAAAAAGGGATTATTACTAAAGGCAGATTGAGTCGTTTTTTATTTGTATCGGCTTGTTTGTTGAAGTGGTAGTAGCAAAGTTTACTAAGTAATATGATTTTATTTGTTTTTGATAAATGGAAATAGTTGGTGGGATAAATTAGGTGATGTATAAGTTTGGAAATATACTTATGTGGTTTGGACTGTAGATATTTGAAAATGTCATTGGGTTTTCCGTGTGTACAAAGAGCAGATTGATTTCGTTGGAGATTTCTTCTATGGTACCGTTTGGTCTAGTATGGCGTCTATGGTTCCCTCTATTTGTTCTCTCTTTTAATATTTTGAGGTTGAAAAACGGATGAGATTAGATTTTGAGGTTGTTAAAGGGTTTTGGATTAGACTAAGATTTCCATAGCCATTAATATTGTCACTGAAACAGAATGGGAAAGGTGTCATTGATAGTTCAATCCAAAATTTCCTTGTTTCTAACAAGGGAATGGTCAGAAGTCGAAGTGGCCAAACCAAAGAAGCTGTATTTCATTCGATGCAGTATAAAACGCTGACTTCGAATCTGTCTTCCTTATCTGCTTCAATCATACATGAAAACAGCGAAATTGAGCACATTGTTGCACTTTTAGCTCGGCTTCTGGCTTCAAAAATTTTAAGTAAGCTAGCTGCATGTTTTGGCCCAGCATTGAGGCGAACGAGGCTCTGTACGGCTAAATTTTCAATTTCACGCATAATTCCTAGGCAAAATAATGGTCTTTAATGGCTTATAACTTCGTCCAGAAAAGCGATAAGCAGATAAAGAAGACAGATTTAGAGTCAGCGCTTCATGCTGCATCTAACGCTACGCAGCTTGTCTGGAATGGCCACTTCGACTTCTGACCATTCCCTTGTAAGTATTTCTTTGCCTTTTATTGGGTAATTTGTCCAAGATTGATGTTTCAATATTCTTACTGTTGCATCCTCTTTCCTTAGAATGTTTATATAATATTTTATTATCGCTTTACGTTGTTATACCTCTAACATGTTCTATAATTCTTTCACTGAGTTTTCGAGTGGTTACTCCAACATGCTGTAAACCACATGTACCGCATTTAATGCAGTTTACAATGTTTTTTGACTTACAGGTACACACTGTGTGTTTATAGGTACTAGTTTTGAATCCCGGTGACTTGTGATATTACATAATTGTTATAATATGCATAAGTTACAGGATTGATTACATTTTGAGCCCTTATTATCATTGCCAAAATTCAATCGGTTGTACCTGCCGGATACCTTACGCTTATAGAAAGTAGAACCCTGAAAGTAAGAGTGAGAATAACCATATGGTTTTGCATTGTTTTTGAGCCTAGATTTAAGGTATAGAAGGGCCCCATCCCATACCAGAGGGGAGCTTAATCAAAGTTTCGGGAGGACTGCTCCCAGGGGTTGACGCTCCCTTTAACAGAATAGCTACCGGAGGCGTAGCACTTACCCTCCCTTGCCAGTGACTACCTGTGCAAACCCCTCGGTAGTACCCGGAAAAGGCGAATGGAAAAGGGAAAGAACACTAAACCCGCCACCGTAAAGTGCACAACTTTTCTTGTGTTTGATACGTAGTATTCATTCTTATGAAAGTAATAATTACTTATAACTTTTATACTTATGGATTAGATAGAAGCACTTTAAGGGAACGATACTTAGTGTCCGTGGCCTTTTGAGAGGAGATGTATACCATTACACTCGTCTTGAAACTCTGATTCCGAATCTGACTTCTGTTTCGGCTGATCGCTTCTCTGAAAGGAGTTATGGAGGATTTTCGAGCCAAGTTTGGCCGCCTGAGGGGAATACGATTGGAGTGCCAGACACCTTTGGTAGGCTATAATGTAGTGGTTAGAGCGATAGCCCCATAAGTTGATGCAAGTGTAGGTTTGAATCCTCTTGTGCCTTTTAGTTTTGCGTTGCCTCAATTAATCTTCTTTTTGAACGTTAGGCATCCTTGAGGTAAATGCATGCCCTTCCTCTTCAAAGCATATGGAAAATTCGGAGAAATAATTACTGTTTGCTTAAAATCTATCTATCAATCATAATTCGAGTAAATTTACTCGAACAAAACCCGTGGTATGCTGCAGGCTACCTCGATGAGCATCCTGGTCAATTCCGAACCTCATTACAATACTGCTTTTCGCGTGAACTGCTGGGTGAGTGCAAGGAAGTCAACTGCAACGACTTATTCTTTATCCGGTGCGCTCACTGCGAGCATCTCCTAAGTTTTGATCACTTTGTCATAAATTTCCATCACTGTGTTTAACATGATTTTCCATTCATTTTCAATTTTGTAAGCGTCTTAGAATAAAAATGGGAAGCACTCATATAAAAATGACTCTTCGTTGGGGTTTTTTTTGAGTGAAGGCATGCATTTACCTCGAGAATGCCTAACCTTCAAAGAGAAAATTAGTTGAGGCAATGCAAAACTAAAAACGCAAAAGGATTCGAACCTACACTTGCATCAACTTATGAGGCTCTCAGACAATCAAAGGCTTTCAGCGGGTAGCCACAAAGCCACCGCCAAGCCCAAAAGCGCCGTGGCCTTATCGCCTCACTGTCGCTCCCCGCTGAAAACCATCTCAGAACTGGCAGCGAGCGGGCTGCTATAAAGTCTTCAGCGCGAAGCAAATGCGGCGGTTATAGCAGCCCGCTCGCTGCCAGTTCTGACACGGTTCTCAAGGGGAAGCGATAGTGAGGCGATAAGGCCGCGGCGCTTTTGGTGGGTTTTGGCGGTGGCTTTGTGGCTGCACGTTGAGAGCCTTTGATTGTCTGAACTATCGCTCTAACCACTACACCACAGCCTACCAGAGCTGGCTAGGGCTGCGATCGCATTTCCCTCGGGCGGCAAAACATGGCTCGAAAATCCTCCATAACTCCTTTCAGAGAAACGATCAGCAGAAACGGAGGTCAGATTCGGAATCAGCGTTTCGAGGCGAGTATAATCATATACATCTCATCTCAAAAGGCCACGGACACTAAGTATCTTTTCCTTGTAAGGGCAAAAAATCACCTGTAAAATTCGATAGCAAAATTATTGTATTGTGAATATTGCGTCATTAAATGCTTTCATTATACTGTCATTATACCAATTTTCCTTGTTTTCTCCTAGTTAACATAAGTCAATTTGTAACAATGGAAATGATAAAGTGGCTCTCGGTAAAGATGCTCCAACTGGTGTACTATAGCTCAGAGGTCCAATTAATTGTTATAGGAACGTCCTTTGAACAAAAATTACCGTTGCCTAAAATTTCCCGTATTAGTTATTCTTTTTTCGTTCGTTTTTAATTCCGGTTGTTCCATGTGTGCTATCTTTAACTAATTTTTTCTTTTCTCAGATGGAAGAAAGACGTCGCCAATACGAGGAATCCATCCAAAACAAGGTGTTGACAGAGTATATTAGAATAATAAACATTCCCATCGGAGACCATAAGGAATTCAATCTTATGTGTGATGATTTTCTTGCCAGAGTCGGGTAAGTAATTAACATATCATTCCGATTCCAATTTGGATATGATATAAAAAATCTGGATCCACAACCACTTACATGACCAAGACCAGCAGAGTTCGGAGCAACGACCATGGCTATCCAAGTAGTATGTCTCCCAACTAACTTACAACAATCGAAAGTGCGTGTAATATCGCATAGTTTTCGTAAGTCATTATTCTGCGTTGCCAGGAATCAACAGACAGTGTGCCAGTTTATTGACACAATGATTTATCCTTGAAAGTAACATTACTTCAAAATTGTAGTAAGTTTATTCCAGTATGGGTAGTAACAACATCTGACACAGCCTGGTTTCTATGAATCACCTATCTTCTTATGCTACTGAATGAGAGCGAAAACTTCTTTTCTTGTTAGTTATGCATTTTCGATCAGAATATGTTCTGTGTGTGCTGACTCATCATGGTTACGAAAAAATCGATTGAAAACTAGTGGTGTCATTATTTCGCTTCTTGCCTTCTTTTGTGAGGAGTCATTGTCTATAGAAACTGAAAATCAATCGAATTGTTGTATTTGTTGTTAGAAGTGTCTAAACTGATTTCCCAATGTTAATTGTCCAAAAACTTGTCAAAAGTGCATGAAATCCCTCGCTGTTCTCGCGTGTCATTACTTGGCACTGCAAAAAGTCAATAGAAAGTGTGTCAACTTTTTTGTATTTGTGATTCAAGCTTGTGATGACACTATGTCATAGGCTAATGATTTTGCTTATTTTGGGTAGTCTTAATATTCAACAACGATTAAAGGTTTGTGAAAATGTTATAATAATAATAATATTGATAGTAATAGATAATGTTCATAATTATAAAATTATAGCCTAAGAACTCCGTTTCGTTCCTATCCTTAGACGGAGTATTGTGTTGTTTCTAGGCCATCCCCGGAACTCTTCAGTAAGGAAGGATGGCAAAATTCAAGAATAACTCATCTTTCTATATGAATTGTTAATAGGATTTATAATTTAAACTTTTATTCTTAAATTTTTATTCTCAAATTTTGATTTCTAATATTTTTTGACGTGTTTAATTAAGTTATTCCCAAGTGTTTTGTAAAAGAGATAGTTTTATTAATTTTTGATTAATTTTTGAATTTAACAGCTTATCTGAGTCCGTTTAATTGTCGAAGTTGTCGTCTTCTTGAATTCCTTTTGTTTCGTCTGTTATGGTCTCCACGTCGAAGTTTCTTCTTTCTGGATTCAATCTTTTTGATGTAGGGTAGTTCCTCGTGGTTTTGATCCATAAATGAATATCCCCAGACGTGTCGAACTTGTTATTGAATGAATCATTCATGATCATTATCGAAGGGGTATCAATTTATCCCGGTATATGGAAATGAGCGGTGTATGGTAAGTGTTTACTGCTGTAGACCATTCAGCAGAGGTCAAAGGACCCGGTGCATTCAACATCTATGCGGGCCGCGCCGAACTCACACCACCTCACACCAGAAAGGACATTTATGTGCGTAATTCCCCAGAACCACCAGGATTAGTAAAGTCAGTGCCTCCATCCTCATAGACCACCCCACCAATTCACCGGAGAGCAGTGGGCCCAGCTGGCTCAGGGAAGGATCGAACCTGGGTCCGACCAGGTCATAGTGGCTTCAAAATTTGGACCTTTCAAAAAGTAAGACTTTTCTTTTCTTTAGTTTATGAGTAATAGCTTACTTTTTTGGAAAACAATTGGAAGTATGGGCTATGGTCTTTGTGAACTAATTATGTTTTGATGTGTTGTATGGAAGTGAAAACTTGATCTTTTTTTGCACGAAATCTTCGGATTTAATTGGTATAGTCGTCCTCACCCCACTAGTCGGTCGGTGGTCGATTTTGAATTCGAACTGGAGCAGGCCGGCCGCGGCAGAGCGCGGCAGACGCCGCTCCTTAGCCAACCGCTTGCACTGAGGCGCGGCGTCTGCCGCGGCCGGCCTGCTCCAGTCCGAATTCAAATTCGACCACCGACCGACTAGTGGGGTGAGGACGACTATATATGTTATGTGTGGGATGATTCATCATTGCTTTCATGAAAAATCGATTAAAATCTAACGCGCTGACATGCGCTCGACTGGCTACATCTATTATGAGTCGTCGTTCATATTTATTTCGAGAATAATGACTTGTTGCATTGCTGAGACATATTTTGTATCGATGGGGGTGATCTTACTTATGTTACGTTACTCTCGTTGAGACTCAGTGTAACTGCGTATATTTATTGTTTGTATAGTAAATTGTTCTGTATATTATTTCTTGTGCCAGAAAAGCAAACAATTGTTTCGCAGTTTATATTTCCTATTTACATGTAATTCTAAGCTAGAGTAAACAATTGAAGTATACGGTGAGGCCTTAATTTGCTTTAGTGGGGGTCTTGGCTTGAATCTTAACGAATAGGTACGTTTAGGTGAAAATGTCATATTGATTTTAGCCTACTGTACAATAGAGAAGGGGCGCAATACAACAACTTAAATGCTACCAACATCCTGGTCATTTAAGAAAAGACATTAAGGAAAATGACCAAAATCGTTTACTGTAAGTTCACAATAATATTTATTTATAATATGTCTGAGTTAATTTTGTACATTTACAGTCTATATCTGAGGAATAAAATCAGGGCAAAATACTAGTACAGTACCAGTACAATACTAGTACAATCAGGAGGGGATTAAAGAACCAGAAATCCGTATCAAACGTGCAAAAATTAAAGTGGAAGGCCTGGGAAGTGTAAGTTCATTGTTATGTATATGTTTTTCTCCATTTTAAAGTGTATGTTTTCTTCAGTTTGACCCTATTGTACTAGCATTGCGCCTGAAAATGGATTGTGCTCACTGGAATGGGTCACCATTCGAGGAACTTCTTGACTTCAAGCTCCAAAAGGAATATAAAGTATGTTTGTTGTTCTTTATGATTCAATCAATATTGTATAGTTCTGTATACACTATCTTAAAGTGAAGATGTTTTATCTTCAGGAGGAAACGATGCATATTAGCGAATTACATTTACCGGGGCTTGGGAATAAGGAAAATCTTCCGCCTGAAGCATCTTATTTGGAGGCTGTGGTAGGTGTGGCTTAATTAGCATGTTAACAAGAACTTAGTTTTTTATATCTTGGCTATGTATATATAGTTTATTGTTCTGATTTTTATTTATGGATCTTTTGACGATTAGTTTTATGCGCGCGGAACCAAACGTAGTAAGGATCTAGTGTCTTCAACTTCGAAAAAGCGAAGGGAGTTAAGAATGTCATGTGCTGCTCTGCGAATCAAATGGATCTTATACGTTGATCTGAATTGAGTTGAAGAAACTCACGTTTTATTGTGTTAAAGGTTTTTTGTGGTGGTCTTGTAATCAGTAATTGGATGTAAGATTGAGGTATATATGGGGGCAGTTTGCATATCTGAGTTTTTAATGTTATCAAGCAAGAGTGTGAGTTGGATTTATGGTTAGCTGCGAGCATCAAATGTTTTAATTGATGTGTGAGCAAAAATTTAATTTTGTAAATATACAAGTGATTGTAAATATGAGTTTGAGTGTGATGGTAGTGTATGGGCGTGTGAGTGTTGTGGGTTTGAGTAAGCGAAGCTGTGAGTGCGTGGATAGATGTGAGAGTTCGAGCGCGAGTATGATATGGAGTGTAAATGTAGTACAAGTGAAAGTTAATATGCGTAAGTGTGAATGAGTGTAAGTTAGTGAATGGACTGTCAGTTTGATGTATGTGACGTAGACGGTGAATGTATAGGCCGCTACATGACGAAGGCGCAATTACTTCAGGCGCGAACGCGGTTTTATTGGCTGCGGAGCGCAAAGACGCAGGATCTATAACTGTGAAGATACGCGCGCGTCGTTTTCCGCGCCCGCTCAACCAATACTGCTTTTGCGCCTTCGTCCTGCAGCAGCCTTTACTAGGTTGTTTTAGAAGTTCTGTTCGATTTGCAACTTTCTGATTCAAAATGTCATAATTCTTTTCAAAATTAACATTTTTGACAAGTTAAATTTTGCCAAATTAAGCGAAATTATGGCTATTATATGAACAGCATATTATGCGGAAAAGTGAAGTGTAGGAAAAGAAAGAATTTATAGAATTTCGTAAGATTTCCTCTAGGACTGTCTACTTTGACGTACCGCGCGTGCAAGTATGCCGACTCCTCGATATTTGATTATTTCTTGCAGTTGCGAATGAAAAATCTGATCAGCTAATGGTGCCTGCTTGCTCTCGCTTTACTCTAACATATGCAACATTAAATGCATCACTTGTCGCTATGTGTAGATTGCTGTCGCTTGTTGAATAACTGAGCTTGTCTCCAATTTTTGGAAAAAAAATTCGAAAAGTAAGACATCTTCTATGTGGGAGAAAAAGTGTGCGTAAGTTAGCACACTCATCTTTAATCATTATGAAATATAAAGTAGTAAATTCACAAGCACTGCGAAAATTCTTGTTATAGAAACTTTGTCTTGAGCATAAGTGCATTTTGGTACCCTAACTTCAAGGCTTGAAAGTTCCTCACTGGGAGAATATTTTGTCGAAGTTTAGTATGCACTGGAAAAAGCAAGAAAATTGCTCCTAGATAATACCCATAATGCTGCGACAAGGGCAAAATTCTAAGAAAATAGCTGCGTTAAAACAGAGCAACTGAAAGTCGGAAGAACTTTTGAAACAGCCTGATACTGTAAGTGTAAATGTATGTGGGTGAGTGTGAGTGGATGATTGTGAGATCTTAAGTATGAGTGTTATATGGTTTAAGTATAGTGTAAGTGAAACTTTATCTGCTTGAGTATAAACGAGCGTGAGTGTAAGATAGTGAGAGGATGTGCGTTTGATGGTTTTTATATAGTGTAAATGTATTGTAAATGTAAGTGTATTTGAGTGTGTCTGTGTGTGTGGGAGACGGTCAAAAGGCGCGATTTCTCCGGCTGTCACCAACTCAAAACTCAAACTCCTGTTTTGTGCTATGCGAGTCTTCAAAAGGTACCAGATAAAGTGCATTAGCTTACTATCTGTCTGAGGATAGCACTTGCTGAGTTTGGTGGCTTTTGCTCGAGAACGGACCGAAATATTTACGAATTTGCTCTTAACTGCATTTTCGTGGGTTTACGACGTTACTGTTACTGTTTACTGTTTTGAATTGATTCAAAGGTATTAAGATTGAATGACCTATCCAGCTATCTTATACATCTCTTTCTAAATTTTGAATATTTCTAGAAAGTCATAAAACACTTATTATGCGCTATCTGGTGTCCATCTGGCAATAAAAATCGCGCCTCTTGACATACACCCGTATGGCATTCGATACAGCATTTCATCCTCTTTCCAATGGTTATGAAAATGTTGCAAAACAATCATTGAGCTTTCAGAAAATAACTAAAATCTACGAGCTATGCTTTTGAGATGGTCACACAATTTTTCTAAACTCTTATATCAACCCTCCAAAGAAGCAAAAGTAACGCATCTACAAAGCAAGCCCTACTGCAAAACAATTTTTTTCTCCTTATTACAGCTTGCCATACATTTAACAGAATTTTAACTGATGTTACCGATTCCCATACTTAGACAGCTAAATCCTCGTAGAACATCAAAGGAAAAGCAGCTCGGGCACTATTCGATGCAGCATTTTCACCTCTTTCTAACGGGTGTTTTTTGTTTCCGATTTGTTTAGTTTTCGGGGATAAAATCATCACACATTTTTTGAAGGCAGTGTCCCGGCAGATTTTGCATTTCCGTCTTTTTGCATAATTTGGGCCTTTTAGCCCCTTTAGCATGCACAATTGGGGAGAGCGGTCGCGGGGTCCCGCACCGAACGATAAGCGAAGTCGTTCGAGCGCGCGCCGATTGGGGTTCGCACGCCGGTTCAAGGGCTACTTTCTCGGCCAGGGCCCGGCACGCGTTGGTTTGGAGCATTTTTGGAAACGAAGTCTCCCATGACTTCGCGATTACGAAGTCCCTCTCGACGTGAAAATCAGTAGGGAAACACTTATTCAACCAAAATAGCAACGAAAAAGCGAAAAAAGCGCATTTTGAGGTATGTAATATAACAAAAAAGCAAAAAGAAAACATTTCGAGTCGATTAAAGGCTCTGCCATTGGGTATAGTACCATTTTGATGCTTGGAATGTCAAGAATCTCCTAGGCCAACCAAATCTGTAGCCTCAACAATCCTGCGATGCATTTTTCGCCACATATTTTAAAGGACACTGCAAGCGACTGGAGCGCGATATCTATCAACGCGTAGAATTATACTACTAATTATACTACTTTTGGCTCAAAAACAGAGGAGAGGCAATAGTTTGATTCGCTTTCTTTACTGTATGATAGATTTTTGACCGTTCTAATCGTCCAAACTAAAAAGAGCCAAAACTTATGTTGAACTCTCCAATATTTATGCTCCGAACCAACCCAGTTGGTTTGGTGTTGGTCTAGAAACCAACAAATTCGGGAACGGATATTAGGACACATAAGTTTTGGGAACTTTTTACATAACATAGTTTGGAGTAATATTGTATACACATAGCCCAAATTCGGAGCCATGTGATTGTTTGTGCGCTGTAAACAAGCCATTTGTTTGTTTGAGTCGTGCGTATGAAATTCGCGCGCTTGCGAAACAACACGTTCAACTCGTATAACCTGATATGCTCGTCGTCATCGGCGCTTCCCCCAGGACCTTGTAAAAACGATATCCCCGGTTGCTCCTAACTTCAAAAACGAAGTCCAGTTTGACCCCAGAACATCTGTGCGGGCCCTGTTCTCGGCCCAGGAGGAACATCAACCACCCGGACTGCGCCTGGGGTCAGTGGGATGACCAGAAACCCCACTATAGCAATATCTCCCAGGGCGCGAATCTGTCGGGACACTGCCTTTAAGAAGCCCCAGGCTGTACCCGAAAAACTCGAATTTGATATTTCGAATCTGTAAACTCTCACTTGCTTTGTAAAATTAGTGGTAACTCATAGTGCCATCTTGGTAGTCTTAAATTCGAAATAATTGTGATGTTTGATGCGATTGTGGCTGATGTAGGCCTGCCGAAACCCGATGGCTTTGTTAAAAAATCTTTCAAAAAATTACGGCGAACCATGAAAAAGAGAATAAGTTGTGCTGTATTCTGTAAAGTTTGCTCTATCGAACAGTTACTTTAACTCCTTCTGAGCGTTGATATGAAAGTTTTGAAAAATTGTGAAACTTGACCATCTCAAAAAGCATAGATTTTGGTTATTTTCTGAAAGATCATTGACTGTATTGCAACAATTTCATAACCTTTGAAAAGAAACGAAATGCTGTGTCGAATGCCACCAAGATCTCTTAGAAACCTTTGTCCCATCAAATGTGGCGCCCGTTTGAAAAAGCGAAATTATTTTCGAAATGACCTAATATATATATTATTGTAATTTTTTTTTATTTCAATTTTTTTACATTTTATTTTTATTTTATTATATTTCATTTTTTTGTATATATATTTATTATTTATTTATTTATTTATTGGTTACGAGTATGAAGGATGGGTTCTTGTAATATAAGCCTTATTGAAAGTGTGTGCTGGAATGTGAATGAAGTGTGAGTGCAATGTGAAAATTGAAAATATGGTTCTTAAATAGGTGAGTGTGGTTAATTCAGTGTGCGAGTGTGTCTTAATAAATGTATATCAATGTTTATTACATTTTATGTGTGAAAGAAATGTTTTCCAAAGATAGACTATCCTATTGTATAATATTGACCGGTTGGTCTATGACCAATTGGCCTTTCAAGTATGTTCAAGAAAAAAAATACTTGAAGAAAGGTAATAGATTTGGAGTTAGCTATGAGAGAAACCTTTACCTATTTCAGTAAGAGTTCAGGTCTTGGGTTGCCCTCATGAAGCTAGACTCAACTGAAAAGATAAAATAATTCTATCAAATGAGATCCTGTTTCGCCTTTACCCTTAGCCTCGGGAGTGGTCCTATACAGGAACTGTGTAAGGCCACTCCCGAGGCTCATCAGTAGGGAGGAGTGGGCTGGAGAAGGATTAGTGGTAACACTATAGCGGGTTTCCTTTCATACTTGTGGGGTAGCTCAAATAGATCAAAGGCTAAGCCGAGGATTCAGGTCATACTGTTTGCGGTATTGTAAACAAATTTTTTAACATTTCTAAAATCACTTAGTTAATTGTACTTGTACGTGATATATTTGTTGAAACTAATGCATTTGAAAATTCCTAGTTATATTATTTCCTTGCTGTAATTTTGTTTAAGTGATAACTTAACCAAGTTTTCGATTCCTTCATTAAAATCTTCAAATTCAGTGCATGTTCTGTAGATTCTCAAAATTTCTTTATAAATAATAGCACTTTTGAGTGCAAAGCTTATGTGTGAGTTCCGTAACAAAATCATGCAACTTCAAAACCATCTTCTCTTTTATTACATGTTTAGTGATGATGATATTCTTTTCGATAAGGATGTGTAGGTCTAGAAAATTGCTATACACTGTTGTATTGGTCGTCTCCATATTCAAAACATTATTACAAACTTCTTGCAATAAAGACTTTATGCATACTTGGGTTTTGTTGTGAATAATAAGTATGTCATCCATGCATCGATATGCCTGGAATAGGAAATTTGGATTGTTTGTTGAATGCAAATGTGTATTTAAAGTATGAGAAGCTAAGATCTCCCAAAAGTATGTACACACTGTTTGATCGTTGATATGTCTTTTCCCAAGAAGTCTTTTGCTTACCTTTAAGCACCATTTTATAGAGCTGGGTTCAACTTAGATTTACAGTATGGAGCGAATCACCGGTCGCTTCTCATTACTGTAGGACGGTAGGAAATTCGAGGGTTGTGAGCCATCAAGGACCCTACTTCGCCTCAGGAAGCAAGCAGCCAGAAAACTTTCATGCCAAGCCACTGAAGCCGATAAAACCAAATATGATGTTTGCACTTTACTGCAATGCTTCCTTAAGTTATGCCCAGGTAGATCGCAACAGCTTTTTTACTAGGGTGATCGGTAAAAAATGGGACACCTAGAGAATAATTGTAGGTTTCTCAAAAAAGAAAAGTGATTAAACTTCCTAATTTTGATAGTATTAGAATAAATTATTCTCTTTCAGAAAATACCTATAAGGTCATTTACCTACCTAATAATTTTTATAGTGGTTAAAATGCAAAGTTAGTCACTTTGACAAATTATAAACTTCGGGCAGTGAAACATGCGAAACCATCCAAAGTACCATCCAAAGTACTACTGCTGCTGCAATGCGTGAAGGTACAGTCACCAGACCCACGATGGGTTGCTGGCCTCAACTTTCAAATGCAGGAGGTATGGCCATTAGCAGCTTCGAGAACAAAGATACGTGCTATTCAATTCTTTGCAGATGAACGCATGCTTTATAGGCACCGTCTGAAAGAGCTTTTTCTATTCCTTATCCATCTTTTGAAAATACAGATTGAAAACTGATTTACTGGTTTTTGTTGCGCCAAAAAATCGCCATTTTTCAGGTATTTCGCTCCTTTTACTCAGAAATAGAAAGAAAATCTGTATGTTTGATATATTGTTTGAAAGAGCATGAAGAGCTCTTTCGAATGGTTTATCAATTGCTCTATAACTTTACGGTATGGCAGCGCAAGAATGAGCGATGTTCAAAAAACCCTGTTCGAGTTCTTCAGGGCGCCACGCGTAGGGTTGTGGGAGAGGTGCGTTGACGCTTTGCCAGAATAATAGGCGAAGGTCGCTTACATAAGCGACGTTTATGCTGCAGCGTGCTTGTTGTTCATCGAAACAAAAAATCTCAAAATTCAATAAAATCAAGCTGCTCCATTTTTTACCGATCACTTTAATACAAGACTCCATAAAATCGTGATTACAGCATTTTAAAAGCTTTGCAAACTCGTAAAAAGTCGAATAATAAGATCAACTCGAGCTTGCAAACCTTAGTACACCACTTTTCAGATTTGGAACCTTTTTTTGAAACACGGTAAATCCGTAGTGGCGCTATAAGCTGAAAGTTCCTACCGTAATCTTACAGTAGTGAATACGAATCTAAGTTGAAACCAGCTTTACAAAATGGTGCTTAGAGTTAAGCAAAAGACTTTTTGGGAAAAGAGATGTCAACGATCAAACAGTGTATACATACTTTTGGGACACCCTGTATAAGCGCACTGCGACCGACAGATTATGCTGATTATGTGCTGACCAAGCAAGTTTGAATCAAACAACGCGGCGATTCATAGCACACAAAGATTGCAAGGTAAGCAATGGCGCAATGGCGCTCAGTCTCTGCGTGTCATGAATCGACGGTAAGCCTGGAAATATCGAAAAGACAAATTTCAAGTTCAAACAAATTTTATTGCAGCTACATCATAAGCTCAATGAATGTGTTGCCGTGCAGCAAACCAATAATACATACCAATGCAATTAATACCCACTGCAGTTAACAAGAATATAATTAGAAAAGCTATCAAAAATATCCTCTCTATTACAGCTGCTAACCAATCATACTCCAATTCGGCCATATTCCGCTGCATTGTGCGTGGTGAGATAACTAAAAACCGAATTCAGCAATTCCTTTTCATAAATTAGCAAAACGTACAATCTACGTTCCGAATCATACTATCAAGCGAGGCACACGTGCTCATTTTCTGCAATCCTTGAAACTTTGATGCAGGTGGTGGAGGAGGTGTATACTCAATATCTGGAGCCGATGATTCCTCATCTGAGGCATTCGAAATGTCCACAAGACCAGTTGTATCGCCTTAAATGCAACATTAACTTAAGTCTTTCATAAATGAAAAACTTCATACATGGATCAGAAATACACGTAACGTCGTCATTTATCGTGCAAATCTTCTTTGGCAGTTGAAGTCGCTGCACGTCCGGTGATGGTGAGATTCCATTTCCGTTTACTGCGTTAACCTTAGATGAAGAAGTTGAGATCTGCAACTTGGTGAATTATGCGCTATACAGCGGCATTCAAAAAAGCACTTCAGCATGTAAACTGCCTTGCCCAATCTTGCAGTTTTCTTACAAGGGAAGGATACCAGGACGCAATGGCGAACTAAAATGATATGCATATCATTAGATGCGTTTTGATGAGCTGATTCCAAATCTACCTTTCCTATCTGCTATGTGCCACATCTCCAAAACTTCATGTGTTCGGTGTATTTATGCATTTCTTGTGTTCAGTGTACTCAAAACCATGCCAATTGGTCACTCCTAAGCTAGTTTTTAAAGCGCATCACGCATCCAAATCCCAACGATCTCACATCTTCGAACGCCCATAGCTATTTCTAGAAAAGCTCCTGCAGATAGAAAAGATAGATTTGGAATCAGCTCATCAAGTCGCATCTAATGATGTACGTATCATTTCGGTTCGTCACCAGGGTCGAGCAAGGGGTGTGGCACACGATCGCTGATTACGACCCCCCCCCCCTGAACTATACACTTAAGATAGCATCACTTAAAGGCCCTGTCAAACATAATGGGCAACATATCCATAATTAGCATGTCAAATAACCCCTGTAGACAAAGTGTGAGCGAATTCTGAAGACTCAAGATACTAGGCTACCTAAGTGAAATGGTCAAATTCCAACATGGTTAACTTTGTTTCAAGGGTGAATTAGCTATCTGTTTTTGCACTCAAGACAAAGCACACTCCTTCTTTGTCCATCTTAGGAATCCCGCTCCAGAAGACCTCCAAACTGTGGAATTAGAAGCCAACCAAAATTCCATTTTTCGCTTTTGATCGCTGTGCTTTCACCAAATATTACTCAGAGCTGAGAAGACGAATCAGGCTCCAAACAGTCCTATGGAATCTACAAGGTTTAGGCTATCGATTCATATAAATACTGTCCGTTAAAATTGTTTTTTTGATATAGTTAATGGGGTGCGGCACATCCCCTTGAAAGCTGCAGCCGCCGCTGTCTACAGGGGTTATTTAACATGCTAATGATGGATAGGATAAGAATATCATGTTATCACTATTATCAGATTACCCAACTACGACCCCCTCCCCTTTTAACTCCTCAATACGACCCCCCAGGTGTAACGTGCCGCACCCCACGCTTGACCCTGTTCGTCACTGCGACCTGGTATCCTTCCCTTGTTAGATTAATTTCTCAAGTAAAGCGTCCAAGGCATTCTACCCCTTCAGCAAGTGCAAACGAATATGCTAAAAAGAAGAAGAACCAACAAGCGAGATTAAGACAAGTACTTAGCAACAAATCAGGATAATAAAATTGTGCTGTAAAGCTTCTTAATCCGAAGTAGACAAGCTGATCTTGATGCTTACGAGTCTAAATGAGATGGACCTTGTGCGCGCGACCTCGGTTCTGGATTTGCTTTCTTCTAGCCTTAATACCCCGCTAAACCTTAGTATAATCTTTGGAGTTCATAAAAACGTTCTTTTCCAAAAAGAGGCGTAAGCAAAGCGGCTTCATTCTTCACAGAATATCAAGTGGATCGATATCCAAGCACTCTCATGCACGCGCTAGTAAAACATTGCTAAATGGATGGGAAAGGCTTAGTAGTTGCAATCTCAAACTATCGGGCTATATCCCTCTTCGGCTTAGAGTTTTGCTTTTGCAATTTTACATCGCCCAGCTTGTAGGCCTTACAGACTAGAATTTGGAGCATATGCGAAGGATTTTACATGGACTGCAATCGCTCCATAAACACATAATACTAGCATGAAATGATGCGCTGTTAAGTTCCTACATCTAGGCTAAACATCTTAAAACAAGTCTAGTTGAAGATTCGAAAGATGTAGCTTGCTCCTGGTTAACATCTTGAAACATTTTGAATGAGAATTTTTTCTCAGGCACACCAAAGTAAGGATCAGTGTTTGAATTATTTCAGAAGCTATAAAAGTTTTCGTGCAAGTTTCTTACCTTGCGCTGTTGTGCTTGTTCTCTTGCTATTTTGTACACACGTTGCCATAAGCTCTGCTTTCGACCTTCCTGCGCTCTTCTGAGTTTTTCTTCCTGAATTCATTTTCATCGAAGGATCACTACAAAGTATTAGGTCGCTAAATAGATTATCACGATTTCTTCGACTTTCTATGGGAAAACTAAGGGAATTCGGTAAAGCTGATATTTGGCATACACGAAGGATGGATGAAGTGCTTTGCGTAAAAAGTTCTGTCGCATTTTTTTTGTTTTTTATTTTCCTCAACAATATTGGCCTTATGTTTGTGCTTGTTCCCTTCCTTCTACCGACTTTTCAGAGTCATTTCTCAAGAGACGGCGAAGCAAGACTTTGCCGTGATGTTCGTTGTCTCGCGCATTCAAGGTGTGTGACCCCAAACTTCAATTTTTTGAGAAAGTAACCTCTCAGTTCTATGATTTTGTTGCCACAAACCATTTCTTCTACTTTTTCTGGATAATCTGTCTACTGCCCTCTCTCAGCAATGTCTTGATGCTCAGCGGCGCGGCAACGTTGAAGAGACGTTGGGAAAGAAACTCTTCTAAGGTTTACAGAAGTGATTTCTCGAAACTTCCGTAGCACTTCTAAAGCTCTGCAGAAGCTATACCATTCTCATCTTACGCGCAGCAAATTCTTGAGCTGTTTCCTATGCACTCTAAATTATTTGGAGGGAGACATAATATAATTATCGAGAATGGATTTTGGCCTCGAATTTAGTTCTAATTCCAAAAAGTCTTTTTTGATTTTCTGCTAATTTGTAGAGAAAAATAAAAACAAAATATGCGACAGAACTTGTATGTAATCTAATATCTATGGAATCATTTCCGTCGGGCAAAGTTCTATCGTTTTTCTTTCTCATCTTTACAGATTTTCATAGAATTCCGTCAGCATTAGTCATACGAAGACATCACTCCGGATGTTTTAGCTCTCAATAACGAAATTGAAAAATTTGCCACATATAACAAAAATAACCAAAAAATTTCAAAAAATTTGGACTTTTCTCTGTGACTTGCATATGAAAAAACCATAATCCTCCACATAAACTGGAAATGAGTAAAAATCTGTTGAAGGTTATGAAAAGATCTTATCCTTCAGGTGTAATAAAACCTAGGTAACAACTTGATGCTTGAGTTTGTTTCTTCTTCAACAAACTCAAGCATCAGGTTGATACTTAACAACTTACTCTAGCTTTTAGGGCATAGGCTTGTTTCATCAGCAAAGGCATTTCCATTCGTACTATACGAGCAACCCTTCGTGCCCATCTCATCGTACTTTTGCAAGGTGGCTTACCGAGAATTCCTAAATACTCTTCATATTCCTTTAAGTTCTTGTAATTGTGAGTTTTTACCTTGTTTCTGGATATAGATTACAACTGAAGCAGCTAATGTCGATAAAGATATCAATAAAATCATACTCGTATAGAACCAGCCTAAAATAGTTTTAAATAATGGCAGTTTTTACAGCGATTGTGTGACAAACCGATCAAAGGGATGAATGAAGACGTGGATGGCATCTTATCCGAGACCATAAAAATCAGTATTGACATTGACAATAATGTAGTAATCCCAAGAGTAATCTTCTCCTCTCTCAACTCATTGATAGACGATGAGCTGAACAGAAAGTGAGGAGAATTGCTATAACTGTGCAGATCAGCGAAAAAATTGTTGCTTATTTCTTCGACAGAGGAAATCTAAGACTTTTGAAAACAAGCGCTCGGACAGGGAACTTACCTAAAGAACCCAATGATTGAGATGAGCGTGATGATTGAAGTAGGCGTTATTAGATTGATTACATAGTACAACGGTTTTCTTTGAATGGAAAGATTAAATTCAAGCAAGGTGTAGTTGTTTGGACAGCAGGCATAGTGATTAACTTGACGATGCACTGGAAATCAACAATAATCTCCTATTTTTCTGATGTCTTTTGGAAGGCTGGGGGAAGAGGAAAGGAGGAGAAAAAGTCCCCTGTGGCGAGAGCCTGGCTGAGCTGATACTCGGGCTTTATAAAGAAAGGATACCAACATGATCTCGCAAACCAAAAAGAGATGTACATTACTAAAACCGTCTTTAAACGCTGCTTCCAAATCTGCTTTCGATTTCTACGAAGCAGCTCTATAAAAGAAGTTATAAGCGTTTGAAAGTCCAAATTTGTCATGTCCTAGGTGGCATAAAGTTGCCGAAAGCTGTACAAAAACAACAGGAACAAGACAGCCAGTGGAAGTCCGCTAGGTGTTGTTTTAGAGCTTTCAGCGAGATTTATACATCTCTTCTTGGTTTGTCAGACTATGCTGGCATCCTTCTCTTGTTGGTAAGTCTTGATCATAAAGTATCTGCTATTCTTTTGCCCATATCCTTCGCTGTAAGTTCACGCCTTCTCCCACCCCTTCCTTCAATTTATTCTATTTAAACCTTTCGGAGTGACTAGATTTTTGTTTGAGCTCACCTGACGTTGTCAAAACTGTCCATCCTTCGTTGTCGATACAATTAGCCGTACCGATAGCATGAGTGGCATTATAAGGGAAATAGTCTATCAAAGTATTATCAAATGTCCAACTTCCAAATGTTAATCTACATGTCTGCAATTGTACAGTTACCAAAATTTCTCAATCACATATTTTAGCATTATGAGACAGAAAATTGTACTCACTTGTACATCAAAGGGGAAAAACCTGAAATTTCATCATTGATTTCATTGATTTTCGAGTTCTTAAAATTTACCTCAAATCCAAGACACAGCTAAGCTTATAAATAGTAGGATAGAGTAACTCTATTAATGCACCCTCATTCTTCCCGCGAGTTGTTAATTTGGCATTGAGGAGCCGCCGGGTGTCTTGATCGTCCATGACAAGCCTGAAGAAAGTAATTTTGGCATCGATCAGCCCCAGCAAAAAAGCTAGTTAGAAGTCAGCTCCAATTTGAAAAAAAACTTAAAGGATCAAACGTGAGATAGTTCCTAACTTCAAAAAATTCTCAACTAAAAATTCAACATTTTCTGATATTACATGAATAAGCACATGATGTTCAAACGGATTCAAAGTATTATCAATAAAAGGATTTGGGTTTTTGTCAACTTCCTTGAGATCGTTGAAGCCTCTCAGTATGAAGTTATAAGCAGAAATTACTTACGAATTATACAGGGTGGTATCTGGTATCCAGATTTTGTCGAATGGTATCATGATTTCGGTAACGTTCGAAAATTCTGCTGGGTCCCATCCGAGTAAGTTATCCACCCAACGCTAAAATTACTCACATTATCCTTTTCAACAAATCTTGGAAACCTAAACTAATTTCATTGTAACAAATCTCATCGCAATCAATGTCAATTTCTAATATTTTTGCATTCAATTTTTCTAAAGAATGTGTAATTGTAAAAATCTTCTCTTGCAACCTCCCCCCCCAACCCGCAATTCCTTAGAGAGTGCTCAGGGCCAATTTATCGCAAAATTGCGAAGCACATCCATACCCGTGCTCAATGGGCACTTTCACGGAAGAGCAGCGTATGGATTCTCGCGCTCATGAATTACCCCATCAGGAGACCCGTAAGGGCTGCATAAAGTAGGGTCAAAAAGACCACATAAAGATAGATTGGGAGTTTGCACTCTGATTAAGCACCAACATAAAAGTACAAAAATTTAAAGATTTTGCCACTGCCTCATCGCGGATAAAAATTATTCTTGTTATAAGATATTAAATTGGAAAGAAAGGAATGTCGTTTTTCACCAATAAGACGAATCCGAAAAGCATGTGGAGGGTGCCATTCGACAGAGTAAAGGAAGCTTTACAAGCTGACTTTTGGATGTTGGTAAAGTCATGATTTATCTAAAGATTAGTGCGAAAGCATAAGAGCACCTCATAATGAAAAATGGGATTTTCGCCCAAGAAATCTTATAAACTCTCATTGCCCTGCATGTAAAGAACGCTTGTACTTATTCAATAGTATATATGCTGTATGTTTTCCAAGCTTAGAATCAGAAAAGAAATTGAGACAACAAGATTGGCAAACTCCGCCCTCAACAGTCGTTGACTCCTCCCACATATGCCTTGTATACTACAAACCTTCACCTTCCATTGAATTTTTGGCCTTGGATATGCCCTAGTTCCTGATAAATGCCTATTTTAGTTGAGAAAACCCGAAAAAAGCGACATTCTATTTTTTCCAACCTAATATGAACTGATAAGACAACTAACAGAGAGGACCTTTGAGAGAGCAATCTCATTGGTCCACATACTTCTACAGAAATCAGTGAAAATTATTGCCAAAGCTAGTGCTAGAGCTAAATTCGGCTCAAGAAAATTTTTGTAAAAAAACGAAAAAAAGCTCACCTCAACTATCCATGCATTCAGCATCAGATACTGTTGTGGTTCATTCTGGAACATATGAATTATATTATGTTTTTTTCAAGGTTAAGCACATCTTCATCCTTTTCTCTTCCTTCTTTCACATTCACAGATTTCGTTTGATAAGATATGGAATAGAAAATGGCGATATTGTTTCTTTGCAGTGTCTTCAAAAGCAAAGCTACCAACTAACCAGCGGTTGACGATAGAACGGATCGATTTGGATGCATTCATAGAAATTTCTAGATTTAAAAAAAGTCATTATAAGACAAGGACGCCAAATCGCCATACTTTCTCACCGTAAAATCGATTTTAAAAAATGCAGACAGTTCATTTTTAGAAGATTTTAATAGAAAAATAAAATTTAAAAAATTGCAGAAACTCTGATGCGTGTTTGCAATGAAAAGCTTCAGAGTTGCTTTTTTTATTTCTTCTTCCTTTTTTGGCCTGAGAGTTTTTCAAGAGCACATCTGCATCAATCTATCCGCTTTCAGCCACTTTTTTCTCATTGATGTAACCATTGCATTCACTTACCACTTGGATAATTTGATAGAGTTCCATTGAAAACGTCACTTTAATGGACTCATTCTGCAATCGTTTTGGAATGAGTCCCTTGTTGTAACGAGATAATATGTAGTCCGTAATTAGATAGTGTTCAGGCACTTGTGTTGACGTTGCATCTGCAAACATATATTTGGTTTTATGCTACTCATTTGATTAAGGAAAAAAGTTGGCAAGCTTTGCTGGCTAACTAGAGGCTAATTCTGCATCCATTTTGAAGAAAATGTTTTTTTTTTACTAAAGAGGAAATTACCCCGACAAGGCACAAATTGGAATTTTTGATACTAGTCTTTCAAAGATAAGCTAAAACGCCTTTGAACTTTCTGTCATTCTTTTCCTTTTCTTCTTTCTCCCTTTCCTCCCTTCTTCGCTTCCATTCAAGTTTCCCTATTTTCTTAGCTTCCTAGCTTTTTCGAAATTCAGGTATGCAAAGTCACAACAACATATACTACACTTCCTGTCACCACTGAAGCAGAAGTGATCTGTCCGCTGTGTTTTCTTTCGAAAACTCAAGCGCAAATGTCAAACCAGCTACCGGATGATGTTTCACCAAATATCAAAGAAAGCTTGAAAAATTACTGGGAACTTTTCGGTTGTGTATTCATCAGCTTATGAATTATTTTTCAACTTCATTCAAGATGATGAATCTAAGGGGATTTATAGGGTTTGATGCATTTCTTTTTCACGAGATATTCCAAAAAGGCAGCTTCCGGAAAAATCATTTGAAAAATTCCTAGAGTCACCGAGAACGTTCATAATTTATTATTTGTTATTTGGTCCATTACTTATTGATTCATGCGATGGAAATGCAATCTAAACTTGAAAAGTATGATGAAATCAAAGTTAAACAACAGACAAGGCAAAATATAATAAAATTTTGAATATCAAACAATAGACATGGCATAGAGGTGAATTCAAATTCTGGGAGATTTTTTTGCAATATTATTTATGGGAGTTAGTCTGTGACATATATGCTGAAAAGAGGGGCAAAAACTGCTTCTATCATTCAAAATACTTGTTCATGATCATTACGCTATTTGCGGAAGGGTTTAAATTGTTGGTAAAAAGTTCCCATTACTTTTGCTCTTAGTGGTGTCACACAAATGCTTTGAAATTAGCAAAAACTGACCTATTACTTATGATTGGCTCAAAATCTCGGCTTTCAACACAATTTCGCTCAAAGAACATTACTATGATATTTAAGCTACAATAAACCATTCCTAATAGGTTCGTTCTGAAGATAACAAAAGTTTTTTCAATCAAAACAGATTTTTGAGTGTTTGAATTTTAATTGGTTACAAAATACATTTGCAAGAGATGAAGAAACATGGCGCTTTTCAACATATACAGCAGTTGAGTACAATCTTTTAGCAACCTTTTACGAGGAAAAAAAATTGGCAAATACTTCTATTTTGAAAATGAAGACGCACCAAGTCTAAGTGAAAATTATCTTATTTTATTCTTTTTGCGCTGTAATTTATCTATCCTGTTAGCTTCCCCATTTTTTTTATTTTCATTCTAGTGATTTACAAGCAAGCTAAACAAGTACAGCATATCGAGTTAGCCTCCTCTTTGCTTTCAAGGCAGCTGTACAAATGTTGAGAAACGAATTAGATAGAAAGTGACTTCTTTATCTAAATGTATTTAGCTATACAAAATCAATTTAGATTGTTCCAAATGACAGATAATCACTTGCACTCTATGCTGTGGCTAACCTCTAAGATAATTAACACTAGCCTAAACCTCAGTGCGAGAATTTGTTAATTCAATATTGATCTGGCGTAGAAAGTCTGCTAAGTACGACAAAGAATCGTATGACATCGATATGAGGTGTACCTAAATGTGCCACAAAAAAAGGAAGCCTTTTTGAGGCTATATTTTCAAATGTCTTTTTTCGTCTTAAAAAATCACCTTATTTTGGCGACATGACGTTTGCCCCTTGTTCTTTCTGCCTTGGACGTTGTACATTTGCAATAGGATGCAATTTCTAGAGGTGTGAGGCTCAAGATCTAAGCTAAAGAATCGACAGGGCCTAAGAAAAATGAAAAATGCCATACTCGTGTTGCGCTTTTTTTCCTAACAATAAGGAGAAAACAATCAATGCTAGCAGAACACTGAAAAATTTATACATACATGGCGTCTCAAATTAACGTTAAAGGTTAGATCTCTGATAATTTTCGTATCTGGAAAGCTCTCACTTTCCTTTGAACGTCATGTTGTAGAATGCTTAAAAAAAACTAAAATTAAACTTGCAGTGCAGAGCGAATACTGGTCGCACTTTATCACTGTAAAATTATGGTAAGAAGAAGATGGCAGCTATTCTGGGCTCTGTTAGGGTACAGAAAGCAAATCAAACAACCTGAAAATTCTTACAGTATTTGATCCGAGACGCTGACACTGAAGTGAGCTTTGCGCTTTTGTGCAACGTTCAAAAATTATAACAAGTGAACCGCAATAGCTGTTTCAAAAGTGCTCCTAGAATCAATCGTTACACCATTTCAGAAGCTTCAAAAATTCGTAAAAAGTGAGAAATGAAATCAGCGTGAAAAATTACTCACAACTTTTTGAATTTTCTATCCGAAACACTCCTAATCCACAGTGATGCAGTAAGCCTACAGTAAAACTACATTAATGAAGAGCGCCAAGTAATGCGTAATGCAGTACCACTATATACTGTACTAAACTGAAGCCAGCTTACAGTGCGTTTTTAAAAAGGAGAAAGTTTTTCATATGAGTAATCAAAGAGCAGATGACACATCATTTTGGGGCACCTTTTATGTTGTTCGGCTAATTACTGATTGATTTAATTATACCACTTCCACATCGAAAACATACATAAGAAGGATTTGAAGATTTTTTGTGATGTAGCCATCAGTTTTGGTCATAACTGGAAAACACTGTGTTTTTAATATCTTTCTCATTGTCAGGATCAAGGCTCGGCGCAGGTGACTTATAAGCAAGCTGGATATGTTACTGGGGCAAAAGGCATAGGGATATCATTTTTGCGTTTTTACACAAATTAATTAGGTTTTTTTAGTCGACGTTTTCGATTTTGGGTTAAAGGCGACTTCCTAAAATTTTGCGAAAGTCTGAGGGGACTTCTGTTTGCATATTCGGAAAGCAATCTCGTGCCAAGTCCTGGTCAGAACTTCCCCACCCCTCTTCTTCTCCCTCCTCTCAAACTTCTACTCCCTATGCTAGCCACAAATTAAGGCATGCTGCCAAACACTCAGCACTTAGGGCCAGTATCTCGATCCATTTCAAACGTTCTCTTTCTTCATGAATGAATAATGTGAAGCCGTCTTTCCGCTTAAAAATAGTGAGTGGGTTATCGCAAAATTTGTGAAAATTTTGTCTGACGAAACAAATGTCGAGACGATCAACGAAGCATATAGGTAAGTTTCTCATTTTTCTCTTTATCTTCTTGACAAAAACTTGAAACAAGCCTATGCCTTGAATAAGATTCTAGGTCATCAATACCTATATCACCCTTGTCTTTCTACCTACTTTGTTTCCAGATCCTTCCAAACTGGGAACTTTCACTTTGAAATCAAAAATTAACCACTTTGACGTTTTTGATGATGAAGTTAACCAATAAGATGGAAAATGTCAAGCTGCATGATTTTAGAAATAAAGTTTTGTGGGCTGAACGAAATCTTCAACTTTTGACCTTTAGTTCCGATGTAAAAGAACAGGCAAAAGCAAAAGATGGTCTCGCAGCTTATTTCTTTCCTTGGAAATGACCGTAAAAATCTTTGACGTCAAAGATGCGCGCCCATTTCCGGAACGAATTATCCGCTAAATGCAGAAGATCAGCTGCAATCCAACCTAATAACCCTCATGCCTAAAGAAAAAGCGTATGGTAATCAGGATATAGAAAACATTGAAATCCTTTTTTCTTTTCTTTTTTCGAGGTTTTCCATTCCATGATTGAAAACCGGGAGGTCGGTAATCTTTTCGCAATTGCAGGATTCCGCATTTGCAGGATTGGCGCAGCTGAGATGACCGTAATCAAGTTGTTATTCATCGGGTGTCATCTGAGCGGCGCAATTTTTCAAGGTCAAACCTCATAATCAGGTTTGGAAGATCGAAAGGGATGAAAAATCGAGCTATTAAGAACATTATGCGTAGTAAAAAAATGCGCACTGAAGAGATATAGTTGTTAAATTTAGTTTAAATCATCATTTAGATTATTTTCATGCACTCGAAAAAATGATTTTATGAAATAGGGATCGGCCACAGATAGATTTTGTTAGCAGGAACTGTAACGGAAACTATACCATGATTCTGTACGACTTGGAAACATAACCAAGCACCTTCCCTCCATCCCCCTACTCTTCTCTCCCCCTCCCCCCCCCCCCCCCACTCTCCCCGTTCTCACTCGGATCTCCTTTCTGCAGTATCATGTTGATATCGTGATAATACCCCTTTATTCTTCCCTTCAGCATTTATTGCCTTTTTCGCAACTAGCTCATCATTTTCTGCAAAGCGATAACATAAACGGAAATATGCAGATTATTATGCAAGAGCATAACAGTCTACAATTTGTTATCCAAAAACAATAAGCAACCAAATCCCACTAGACTAAAAGTTTGACTTTGTCAATTCGTGAAAACTGTTTTATGAAATTCTAAGCGTCAGTGTTTTGCCCTTTACGGAATTTGAATAGTACAAGTTGGCTAGGGAAAACTAAGACAATAAAAACTCCGTGTACTCACGATTAAATTTGAACACGAAATTAGCAATGATTTTCATGCCTCCGGGCCTTCTGCAGTGGGGTAGAGTGTTAACGAAGGTTTGGATGAGGGCGAACAAGGCTCTGTTAATTTGATTCTGTATGAATGGGCTCTACATAGAACAGAGCTATTAGAATTTCTATTTTGGAATGAAATGAAACAGATGCACATGAGAGCGACGATGAAGAGAAATTCGTTGAATAGAGCAATTTGTTGAAAGTAATGAACGAAGTGGACGGACCACAACGATAACATTGTATGAGAGGCACGAAATTCAGAAAGTTCGATTTCTGCATTTCTGTATTATTTCTATGAATGACATTGAATGGAAGACTGGGCCTTATATCCGAATTCTTTCCTTAAAATTCTTTGATTGTTTGTGAATCTCATTAGTAAATAACTCAAACCATTTTCTCAAGCTTCTCAGTTTTTAGGATTGTAAAGAAACTTGATTTTAAAGTGTCCCGATGTAAGAAAAAAAAGAAGAAAGGAAAGTTTTTACAAAGTTTGCATCTCGGTGTTATGTGCTTGGAAAGAAGGACTACCGTGATGATTTTGATTCAAGAATTGAAAAAAGAAGAGGTTCTAACCATAAGAGCATTAAAAATCCCTCAACTCACCTGCTAATAAAATTTGAACAACGAATATCAGAAAAAGTACGGTATGCAGAAGAAATAGTTGTTTTATTGTACCTGCACGACTGAATTGAGCCGTTAGTATGAGTATGATGAACAGATAGTGCATTTCTGTGGTTTGGAATGTGTAGTGGAAAGATGGCTGAGGCTCAAAAGCTGCTGCTATCGCGAGTTTGCCGCGGGCGGAGTTTGTCCCGGTGGCGGTGGACCTTTCGGTCAGAAAGGAAATTAGACGGGCACCGCCCCTGCTCTCTCGGATGTGTAGGCTTTGAACTCGGTCTGGGCAAAGTGTGCCTCCCTGAAAAAATCGTTGAAGGAGTTTGAAGGGTAAGTGTAGTCTTTGTGACGTCATAGACATCATGATTCTTGAGAAAAACACTTACAAGGCAATAGCCTTTAGCCTTCAGATGTCCCAAAAGACCACAGCTATGAGATATTGGAAAGCGATATCTCAGTTTTTTCCTTGTCTGCTTCAGACCCCAAATTGGCTATAGAATGATGGCGAAACGCTCTGAAATTGAGCATCTCAAGCGGATCCTTTGCAGATTGTGCAATGCACATGGACTTGAGAGCGTTTAGGCTTTGTTCACTCGAATTAATTGCAAAGCAGTTAAACGAAAGTAAATAAGTTTCGTTGCTAGCTTTTTTACACTTCCAAACATCTGTTCTCCGCTCCAGTCTCTATCCGAAGGGCTAACATCTGCTTCATAAACGTTTCTCTTTAGTTTGTTTTCTGCAAAACGACGTGTTCCAAAATGTCTCCGATAATTTGTATCACGAAGGCCTGTTATAATTTTTGCCTGATTTTGAGACAAGACCGTCTTTCGGATATTTGACTTAGTGTCGCTTGTTGTCATGCAGTCAAATCCTCAAGCGCTATTAACATTTTCTGATATGTGTGACCCGAGTATCTTCACGCTATTACAGTGGCAACGATTTGGCAATATCCCAATTGTTTACAACTCATCGTAAGCACATTATGTACAATAGGGTATTCATGCGAAAGTTACACACACTGTGCACTTGTAGTCTGTAAGTTCGAAGACATCTGGCGACCCGCCAGGCGTCGCAGTTGAACTCGCTCAAAGTGTGTCCGAGGCCTACGGTACGCCCATACTCGATCCACTTGATCCATTTCAACCACTTCTCTATTGATCAAATCAGCAAACTGTTCAATGGCGAAGCGGATGTCCACTTGATCCGCTTTACCACTCTACTTCACCATGTCAGTTCGCTGATTTGACCAATAGCGAAGTGGATGGCGGATTAAGCGGATCAAGCGAATCAAGTATGATGTGTGCCTATGGTGAAGGGTTTGAAACCACAACCTCACTAATAACGCGTGTTCAGCTATTATTATTCGAGCTGTCACAAGTGGACGCTCAAGTAGCGATAGGTACCTCATAACCCCACAGTAAGGTAAACGCAATAAAATCGTACTACGATGAAGAGCTCAATCTTTCTTGTCACTCGTCTGCTAGCGCAAAGCCTTAAATGACGCCCAGGGCGCACGAGATGGGCCAATGTGAAGTTGCAATTCGTTTTAAATGGAAAGTTAAAGGAATGTCGTGAATATAAGTCTTACTCGGTTCCGGCGAATGACTCGGTTACGGCGCACACATTATGATATGACTAAGAGTTTGAGTATACGCGGACATGGACTAGAAGGAGTATAGTGCAGAGTATTGTGGAGAGATTACGTGACTGAAGGTTGTGGTATTTTTTTCTGAAAATTTCCCACTTCCATAAAATGACAAATTGGATCATTTGCAACGCACAGATGACAATATGGCACGAAATTTGGTGTGTGTACGCGCTGCTGGACTAAGGAACAAAATGTGAAAAATTATAAAGAACTTATGTGAATAAAGACTTTTGCTGCTTAACTTTTTTCCGTGGACGATTGCCCACTCAATGCCCACCTGAGATGGGCGAAACACTTCACCTATCAAAATTTCCGCACCTAATGTTCAGTATATAGTGACAATTTTACTTTAAAACTCCTCCTCTCCTCCTTGTTAACCGAGATAGCAATGACGCCGTTTTTGAGGAAAAAAGCGCGTTTTGATCGAACAACCTATGCAGGTAGCGGGATCATGTGGGAAATTGTAAAAATCAGTTGTGGCAAAGGCGAAGTCGTTTTACGATTCCATTTGCCACCCTTGTGCTGGGCCCCGATGACACTTCCAGCGCTTTGCAAGCAGCAATGCCCTCACACCATAAAATGCTGCTTTTGAAGAAGTCGTTAACGTTACGAGTTGCTCCATGTTTTCCTAGCGGACTTGTCGTGCTCTCGTTTCTTACTACCAGATGCTCATTAACACGAAAGCTCAGTGTATGCTCGGTTTCGTGACGTAAGCGCATGGGACTTGAAAGTTTAATTCGCAAGCTACTGTTAACTATGGCACGCTTTCCCATCTTGTCAATGCCAGATACAACATTTTGCATGATACTGGCAGTGCCATACAGTTTGTATCGTATAAGTTGTGCTAAATGTTTTTGTTTATTGGAGGATAGTGGCGTAGTGGAACGTGCCGCTATGACTAAGGGCCGCGTGCCTGCCGGGGAGGGGATCGCAGCTTCAAAGAAAGTTTTGTATCCTGAAGCTCCAGACTTCTGGTCACGTTGTCTACCTATCCTAAGGTATTCCTACCACCATTCACTACGAATTTATTTAACAGGAGCGGGAAGCTGTATTGCATGATCCTCTGATGATCCGCCGCGGGCAAACGTCTTTTCTTCGAAGCCATTTTTTTTCTTCGAAATTAACGAAAAGCTTCCAAAGTTGTACAGAGTATTTAGCCCAACAGTGTAGCATGTTGCTGATAAGAACAAATGATATATGAAAGTCATGAAAATCGCAATGAACCACAAGTCGAAACTTGGGGTTTATCGAAAAATTCGCTTTTTCGAAAATTTATTTGTTCTTATCAGCAACATGTAGCACTGTTGGGTTAGATCAATCAAACTTTGGGAGGTTTCCGTTAGTTTCAAAGTAAGAAAATTGGTTGAAGAAAAGACGGTCAGTCGCTGGATCATCAAGTGATCATAAAAAAAAGCTGGGAAATGCGGCTTGTACAGCTTCTCGCTCCTTTTAAATATATTCATTGTAAATGGTGGTAGAAATACTTACGGATAGCTATAATCCAGATATCTGGAGCTTGAGAATATGAAGCTTTCTTTTAAGCTGCGATCGCCTCCCCGGCGGGGATGTTAATGCATGCGGCCCTAAGTCGGACCAAAGCGATCCCGCCTCTGGGTCAATTAAGCCTTCTACCCTCCGCGCATGGTGAATTGGTACCTGTATGAAAGGATAAAAGTGCTGAAAGGGAAGCGCCCCCCCCCCCCTCCCAATTCATTGTAAAGGCCTATGGCATACCTCGCGCGATTCCGATCGCTGACCGATTTGGCACCACGGCGACTCTTTGTCGTCCTTAATGGTTTCCTTTGGTCAGAACTTGACCCATTTGCAACAACTTACACAAGCTACCCGCCTATGTGTTCGGGAAGCGCGTAAGATGTATTTGTAGAAATCTGGCAAATTGCCAAGCGCGTGAAAGTGGCGATTTGGCCGAACGACAATGTGACCCACATAAGGGAGGGGGGGGGGGGAGAGAGAGGTCATGGCTTGAATTTTGTTAGATTTGGCGTCACTGTAGTGAGATTCATGTTGATCTCGCGATCTCGTCGCTAGTTCCTAGCCGCTCGCGACGATTAGAATTAACTAGATGGCAAACCCGGCTCCGCCCGGGGCCAAACTTTGCACACATACACTTCGGGGCAGGGAGCGTGTCATAGTCCACTTTTCGTTATCGATCGATGTCGATTTCACCGATTTTTTGCAAATTTTGAGCTACGGGGCTGGGATTTTGCACAGGGGGGTAATCGAACATGCTGAATCACCCCCGTGGGGGTGATCAGCATGTTCGATTACCCCCCTGTGCAAAATCCCAGACCCCTAGCTCAAATTTTGCAAAAAATCGATAAAATCGATATCGATCGATAACGAAAAGTAGCCTATGACACGCTCCCTGCCCCGAAGTATATGTGTGCCAAGTTTGGTCCCGATCGGTTCAGAAATAAAAATTTCTATTCCGCACATACGTACAGACAGACAGACAGACATACATACAGACATTCAGCTTTATATATAAGAAGATGATTAGAATTATCGCTTGCATTATGCCCGGCCCTCTAGAGGTTGAGTGCCAAATTGTACATCGCGCTGAAATACTCTTTTCATTTCGATGTTTTGAAAATTTTTGTAGCGAGATTGGAAAACGTTCTTATCTTTGAAGATTTAAGATTGTTTCCAAGACATATCAAAATCAATTTTCTGTACCCCATAACCGTTCGTCAAAGCACCTCTCAAAGAGTCGAGCAATTTGGAGTAATGGGATCAATAATCTAGCTGAGTGTTACCATACTTGTAAAATTAGCCCAAATTCGGCACTATCCCAGCTGGCAGCTAATCAAAAGACGCTGTCGTTAGCATGTTCAAGCACTTGCAAATACATGCAAACATCGAGAATGGCGTTGAATTAGTGATTATTGCTTAGGATATTAGCGGCAACTAGTTCGCGATAGGTTGTACGTTCGCGCTTGTATTTGGCATACTTGTGTGATTTGCCCCTACCATGAAACGGAGCTCATGATTTGTCGTTGTTTATTGAGTCCACTTCATGAAGTATTCCCTTAGCCATATGCTAGTGAAACTAGCCGTACAGAGCCAATGTATTGTCAAACACCTCCTTGGCAAAAAGAAACGCAGCATGATGAGTCCATTAGGTAGCATAAAAAGGCAGAACTGTGGTATCAGCAACGACATTGGGTGCAAAATACTTGACTAGTCACCCTTCAAAGCCACTAATACACACCGACGTTTTGCACTTAACCCCAGCACCAACAGAAAAAATTATCCATTACAGTTAATTTTAATGCATATTTGCCATTCTGCTTGTTTCAATTATCAGTGCTGCTACATTGGTGCGCAGCTGGGATATTGGCCATCTAATTTTCTTTCATAACAGCGTTTCCAAATGGGGCTAGTGAGTGTGGGCCATTGGCTTTATTCCGGGAGTATGCAGATAGTCTTATTTGGTGAAAAATGGTGATGCACTGACGATATCTGAGGACGCTAACGACGTAGGATTATTCATCAAGCACTCTCTAGGACTTACAAAAAAACGTGAATTGATATCAATCAAAGCTCAGGAGGCGCTGCCATGCATCTAATCTGATTCTGCAAATGCCAGTCCGCTGCAGGAGCAAAGATCTACCTCACGAG